TGACACATTAATTATTTCTGATGATCTTGGACGTTTTTTTATTACTATAAAATCCATGTGATTTTTATTTGTAAACGAAATTCTATTTTTTTAACCAAAGTTTTTTATTTTGCGTGAGTAATTGATATGACCGACACAATCATTTAATAAAATAACATTGAATATAGCGATTCTGATTGTTAATCTTAGTGTACAATGAAAAATTTTTTGTTTATATAGTGACATCTTTTTTTTATTTAACAAATGAAAAGTTGTTTTTTTTTGAAAAATTTAGTTTTTTTCATTAAATTTATTGATTTTTGTTAAGAAATTTAATATTTAAGTTTTAATTTTTATTTCATTGATCCTTATTGGTTAATTTAATTCGTTTACGTGGTGGTGGTAGAAAGTAGTCAGAATAAAAACGATAACATTGCTTTTTTATTCTTTTTTTGTTTTTCAAAGATCGATAATAATGTTTATCAAGACACAATTGATTTTACTTGCATTAATATCTGTTGTATTCAGTCAAACAGATGAGGAAGAATCATTTTTATTTGTTACGAAAGAAACAGTTAATCGATTTATTGTACAAGATAAAGAATTAACTATTAAATATGCATTATACAATTCTGGTCCAACGTAAATAGAATATTTTCCAAATTTTGTTTTGTTTTGTTTTTTATTGTTATTATTTCAATTATTTTAGAACAATTTTTAATGTTAATCTACAGGATACTCACAGTTATCCATCTGATAAATATGAATTACTTGTTGGTACACTTACTCCTAAATGGGAACGAATTAATGCGTAAATCTCATGTTTAAATCTATATTGTCATTGAATATATTTTTATTTAGTGGAGTTAATTTAACTCATGTTGTTGTTCTTAAACCAAAACAAAGTGGTATCAGTAATAGTTCACATGCTATTGTTACATATCAAAAGAGCGAAAAAAATACTGATTCTCAAGTAAGAAAATAGACATTGTTTCAAACATAACTACTCCGATGTTGGTCATCCTCTATTTTACTGTTGACTAAACAAATAAAGATATTTCTTCAGATTAGCGGTATTGACACTCTACCAGTTGGAACAATTAGTGTATAGAGTATTGTCGATCCGAAGAGGAATCTAAATAACAGAGTCTAGATCTGAGAGAAAGGATACCTTCATAAATCCGATGGCGAAATAGCAGACTTCAAAACTAAAGTTCCTGATGTTTCTCCTTCTCACAGAGAGAGTCACAGAAAACAATTTTGTGTTAATAAAACAAAAAAAAAATTTAATCATGGTATGCATTTCCTTTAGACAGTTTAAATTTTGTTTCATATAATAAATGATGAAGAGATAACTTATTTTGAATGACACAAATAATTCTACTAAGTACATACATTGTGCGTATACAGCTTTAAGTAGAAGAATTCACTGATAACT